GACAATAATATGATTTTATGCGACAATAATATGATTTTATGCGACAATAATATGATTTTATGCGACAATAATGTGATTTTATGCAACAATAATATGATTTTATGCGACAATAATATGATTTTATGCGACAATGATATGATTTTTAAAAAGTTACTAGCATTGCTTTTGGAACCTTTTCTTTGGAACAGTTTAAAAAATTCAATAGAATTATTACAAATAGTTTTTAAATATGTGCTCTTATTAGATGTATACTGTGACACTGTGCACCACTATGCGACATTAATTATACAACTTTGTGACCTCGTATTTCCTTTAGTTTTTTCATTATACGCATCCATATAAGTTTGAGAAAATTTATCAGAAATTCAAAAAATGTTTGGTCTTCTCTTCTCCGAAACTCTTCATTAAGGGAATTACGATTGAAAATATTTGAGATCGAGTTCTTTTATGAAATTTTCTTTACTTTGACGCGCGTATTTTAGATCTAGTTCTTTCATGAAATTTACTTTACTTTGACGCGCGTATTGAACTATGTTAGAAAAAATCTAACAAACTTTGATATTATTTGGTCTCGACTTTTAAAAATATAGTAATCAGAATGCTAGAATCAGAATGCTAGAATCAGAATGCTAGAATCAGAATGCTATAACTAGAATTCCTATTGACAGGAATAACAAACTTAATGATCTATTTCTGAATGACATATCTATTACATCGACAGATATGTCACTTTTACACATTTATATTTAACACTAGGCTTACAGGGCGCTTAGCGCCCATCTTCTATTTCAATTGTTAACATTTTCTCTTTGAATACATTGAAAAACAAAGCCAAAAAAATAGTTTGCTGATTTTGTAAAAAATAGTTCGTGGATTTTCAATTTTAATGAAAATCGAATTTTGTTGGAGACAAATTTTTGAAATTTTGATCATTCATAGACCTTCCCTGGGGTCATGTGAGGTCCCACACAAAATTTGGCTCCGATTGGTACAGCCGTTTTGACATTTATTGGATACAAACATACACACACCCAGACAAACAGACATGCAAAGTAGGCTTTTATCTATTTCAATTGTGAACATTTTCTCTTTGAATAATACATTGTAAAAGAAAAACAAAAAAGTTAGCAGATTCTATAATATAATTCGTGGATTTTCAAACTTTAATTAAAATCGAGTTATGTTAGACAAATTTTTGAAATTTTGATATCTATAAACCTTCCTATGAGAAATCCCACACAACATTTTGGGCTCCATCAGTTTAGCCGTTTTGACGTTTATTAGGTACAAACAGACAAGCAAATTTATATAAATAGATAGATGGAAAAGTTAAAAAATACAAGTTTTGCGGTGTGTCATTGAAATTAAAATCTTTTTAAAAAGTTGGTTTAAAATGCGGAACTACGTCACTACGTGAGTGTCCGCGTAATACTTCATACTTACATAATGATGATATCAGAGCTTGTCGGGGACTGAAGTGCATTGAATGATCCAGGTTTACATTATATGTTATAATTAAGAAATAATAAACCTAGGTTTATGTTATTTCATGTTTTCAACCGAGTTTTTAAACAATACATTGTTCAGATTTAATTGTGCCGAGCTATAGCCAGGGGGAGAATCAGAACAAGAAAAACAACTAAAAAATACAATCAAAGCAATTTTTTCTCTGAACTCTAAACTTGTTTAACCCTGTCATATTACTAAACTCATGTCGTAGACCTTTGATATTTTAAACTAAGGATTTCATCAGGTTGAGTTAGAGGCAAGTGTTCAATTCAATGTCATTAAAACCTCATAAATGGTGTTGGTTGTAATATTATTAGAAACAAGACTTTTTGGAAAACCCAATGAAATGCAAATAAATTATCTTGAAATGAAAAATCTCCTGTAAGAGGTCCTACCTATAATTCTTAAGAAATTAGAATATAAATACTTCAATTTCATAAAAAGTGGGGGGGGGGGGGGGGGCTAGAGCCTTGAATGTATTTCTTCATCTTTTTCAATGATTTCGCTGAATTGGTTTCGGATTAAAGGATAAAAAGATAATAAACATTTATTGTCTATTTTACAGAGAAGTTTTAGAATTTTTATAAATTTGTTTTCATTTTTTTAGAAACTTTTTTTTTATTTTGTATTGAACAGAATATTCATACAAGCAAGAACAAATTATTACATTTATAAAAAAAGATTAATTCACAATTGATTTTCCCTTACATATTGTAAATCAGTGACTATAAAACTTGAAGGACCTGTCAGGTAATGTATAGACTTGAAGGACCTGTCAGGTAATGTATAGACTTGAAGGGCCTGTCAGGTAATGTTTAGACTTGAAGGACCTGTCAGGTAATTTATAGACTTGAAGGACCTGTCAGGTAATGTATAGACTTGAAGGGCCTGTCAGGTAATGTTTAGACTTGAAGGACCTGTCAGGTAATGTATAGACTTGCATGCCCAATTCACAATAGTACCTTAATCTTACTATTTGAACAACAACATGAGGAAGATACGTCCCGACGTTTTACTTTCTGAAAAAGTGTTTAACTCAGTTTCATTATTTGTTTTTGCTGCACAAATTAGCGAGTCACTTTTACAGAAAACCTCCGATTTGAAATCAATGAATAAAGGATACAGGCGTGACTTGGGCATACAAATTTTTAAAGAGAAAGTCACTGTAATTCTGTTGCTTCAATTGAATATAAAAATGCAGTAGACCCACCAAAGTTTCTTCAAAATTATATATAGCTAAGTCACAAAAACTTAAGAATGCGCGAGTGTTAAGCTATATCTTAAAATTTGTGTTAAAAAATGATTAGGGTTAAATTAAACTTAATTTAAGTCACGAGCGGCATTAAAGCTGAAACTTTACATTTAAACTGAAACTAAATATTTAAGCTGTAACTTGTTGTTCTATAGTTTTAGGCTCACCAGGAAAACTAAAATGAAATTTTTTCATAAAATTCTCACATTAGAATGAATAAATAAGTGTTTCTAGTTTACTGATGGCAGAATTTATAAATATTAAATAGGAAAAGAGAGAAATGAAAATTTTCTTTTAAGTAAATTGTTCTTGACAGTGTAGAGTTTAAAATATGTATAACATCTTCATTTTATCTTTATCTCATCATCCTTTCCTTCCTTACATTCTACCCTTCTTTACATTCTAACCTTCCTTACATTTTACCCTTCCTTATATTCTTCTCTTGCTTACATTCTACCCTTCCTTACATTCTACCCTTCCTTACATTCTACCCTTCCTTACATTCTTCGCTTCCTTACATTCTACCCTTCCTTATATTCTATCCTTCCTTACATTCTTATCTTCCTTACAATCTACCCTTCCTTACATTCTACCCTTCCTTGCATTCTACCCTTCCTTACATTCTACCCTTGCTTACATTCTACCCTTCCTTACATTCTACCCTTCCTTATATTCTTCCCTTGCTTACATTTTACCCTTCCTTACATTCTACCCTTCCTTACATTCTTCCCTTCCTTACATTCTACCCTTCCTTACATTCTATCCTTCTTTACATTCTACCCATCCTTACATTCTATCCTTCCTTAAATTCTTCTCTTCCTTACATTCTACCCTTCCTTACATTCTACACTTCCTTACATTCTACCCTTCCTTACATTCTACCCTTCCTTACATTCTGCCCTTCCTTACATTCTACCCTTCCTTACATTCTACCCTTCATTACATTCTTCCCTTCCTTACATTCTATCCTACCCTACATTCTACCCTTCCTTACATTCTATCCTTCCTTACATTCTACCCTTCTTTACATTCTACCCTTCCTTACATTCTACCCTTCTTTCAACTAACCTATCTACAGTCGTTTAGTCTTTTATTCTCATTTTATCAGATTCTAACTTCCGCCCCCCCCCTTCCACTCTTTTTCCCTTTTTTCTTACCCCCCACTCCCCCCTTCATTAACTGAGATTTACCGAAGTTTCCTGTTATTAGTGCGTTTAATAACTAAGGTGGAGCAAAAATTGCTTATTTGTTTGAATTCATGAAATTGCAGAGAATTGCAAAGTTCTACAGGAACTTAACTAAACACAAGTCAAGGAATATGTGGAAAAAATGTAGAATATATTTTGTTAATACTTGTTAAAAATCATTAACACAATTAATAGATTAGGGGAACTTGAGACCAAAAAATATCTTTAAACCCATAAAAAATATTATCATATTAGTTTTATATTTGTGTTTAAGGAAAGGTTCTCGAAAATGTGATAAAAGAAATGAAGAGCTTTGTTAATTAGTTAATTATCATCTTATATTCAGGATCCCCCCTCGATCAATCCTCCCCACCTCCAACCCTAATAAGAAGTGATATAAATCTTTCGTTATCAAAATTGTTAATGAAAAATATGAATTTATTTCAAAATAAATTTATTACGTTAAAGGTTTTTTACGAATAACTGGTTGATTTTAAAAAAAAGCAGTTAGTAAACAGTGAAATAAACATTATGCATTGTCAAGGTAAATTGTTATTGTTTTTATAATAATTATTTCTAGCAGTCATAATACTCATTACGTGTCAGTAAAATGTGATTCCCCAACTATACCCCCCCCCCTCCCCCGACATATTAGCCCCTTTGGTTCCTTTGATTTTCATTATCTATCGCATAAATTCACAGTGTTTCGTAGATTTTTAATGACGCAAATTCACCTGAAAATCCTGGTTCTTATGAAATACGTATTCACTGCTTTAGCACAAGAATTAAACTGCCGGGCTGTAGGGTTTTCCCACACCGTCAACCCTATAGGCAGTTGAACAGGCAGTATACAGGCAGTATATATGTGTATAATACTGTAACCTTTCCATGTTTGGTTCTAAATATTACCGGTTTTACAAGGAAAATAGGATTAAATCTACCTAACTGGATATTGGATAATTCTAATCTTTAATTAGAATATTATTTAAAGAAATATATTAAGGTGGGTCTAGAGAAATTGATAGAAGGGGATGGGAAAGGAGAAGGATATGGGTAAGAAGTGAAAGAGAAGGAAAAGGAAGAGTATAAAAATGGAGAGAGAAGGAAGAGTTTAAAAGAAGAAGGAAGGATAGAAAGGAAAAGAAAGGGAGAAGGAAGGGTAGAAAGGAAGAGAAAGGGAGAAGGAAGGGTAGAAAGGAGCAGAGAAGGAAGGGTAGAAAGGAGGAGAGAAGGAAGTGTAGAAAGGAGGAGAGAAGGAGATGAAAGTGTAGAAAGGAGGAGGGAAGGAGATGAAAGGGTAGAAAGGAGGAGAGAAGAAAGGGGAGAAAGAAGGATAGAAGGAGATGAAAGGGTAGAAAGGAGCAGAGAACAAGACTGAAGAGGAGAATAAGAAAAATAATTGAATAGAAAGCCGGAGGAACAGAAAACAAAACGAGGGATGAATGATAAAAATCAAGATTAGGATGAGAGAGAGGAGAAGGTGAAGGGAAAGAAGAGAGGGAGAAGAAAGTTTAAGGTGGAGAGGGTATGAGAAGGGAAAAAGAGAGGAAATAAACGGTTAGTGTAGAGAGGGAAAGAAGCGAAGAATAAGAAGAGGGGGGGCTCTGAAAGTTGATTCAGCAGAGGAAACGTACGTACGTTATTAAATTTTCGGGGATTCCCCGAATTTCATTTCTAGATCTCTAACGTTTTCTTTGCATGGAAAGCTTTTAATTGATTTTTTTTATTAAATTTATCAAGAACCAGTTTTATCTGATTAAATACAGAAACAGTTTTCATTAGAATTCGTTGCTTATTTTTCATCCAATTACAAGTTTAACTGGATATTGTTAGTAAGAAATGCGTCAATTATAATGTTTTTTTTAATGATATGCTTCAGAAGAGGAGGGGAGGAGGGGGGATATGGCGTATACAGGATTTCGTCAGGGGGAGGGGGCTTAATTTGTTTTCTTTCCAGGGGGCTCACTTGTTGGGACCTGAAACCCTGTTGAAGCCATAAATTTAACATATTAAGGGGGGGGGGGGGTAAGAAAAAAAACCCCCCCCCCCCCATAATTACACCAGTGCAGTGGGGTAGCATCATTCCTTGTATATGTGGCTTATGTAATTATTATAAGTGCAGACACAAACAAATACGACACACACAATTACAACAAATGGACGATGTTTGACCCCTAGTTCCCTAAGCGACCACTCCTACTATTTAATGTGTCTGGGTAAAATACGGTCTGAAACCAGATATTTGGAATATACCGTTATCAACATTAACTTGAAATAATAAGCAAAATAATTTATATTTAAAAAATTCTCACAATTATGTTAAATTTATGAACATTTTTTGGTTAGCCTTTTATCTTTGCGTTTTTTCTTGTCTTATTTTGTATAGCTATACTGTTAGTGCTAAATGATAATGTACAGGGTGTCCCACGAAACATGACAGTAAGCAAGACGAATTGAAAGTCGTCTTTGAACTTTGAATTTATTTGTGACATTCAGTCGTTCACCTGCTTTCAAATGAATGATTGTTGAAACAATAACCACAAAATTCTTCTCGTCCTGGTATTTCTAAAATTTATTTTATTTAATAAAGCCTAAATTTTCAAGATCTGTATGAAGTTATTCATATCTCCAGTAATATTAACAACACAAAAAAGACAGACCACAATTTAGAAAAGCTTAGTCTAAGGGTATTTTGTGATTATTAACTCTAAAATTTAACTTCCAAAATTAGTTTTACTACTAATTAATACAATCTATTATTTTGAATGGGTAAATTCTGCCATAAATGTATATTAAATGGGACAAGAAAGAAAAAAGTTTACAGCTGCTGGTATTAAGTCTCATTCTTTTTTTGTAACCCTGTAGGTCGAAGAGTAATTCTTCTTCTAACTGATCAACTGATAACATTAAAAATATTCAGCATGGCAAAAGCATGATAACCTTGTGCAAATGTACTTTTAATATCTAGTGCAGTAAAATTAAGGAGATTGAGGAAAACAATTAATTCTACAATGTAATAAAAAAGAAAAATAACTTACTTCTTATTCCTCCAACAAACTGAAATATTTTAAGATTACCAACGGAAATATACAGTGAAACCCTTAATAACGAATACATCGGAAGAATTTATCAAATGTCGTCTTGACAATTTTTCAATGAGTTTTATACTTCGTTACGTAAATTTTAGTATTTGCGAAAATAAGTAAATAGCCATAAATATACGGAAACAGTTTTAAAGAGTTCCATATAATTATTTAATTTTAAAACTAAATATCGGCAACATTCCATTATCAGAAAGTGAAGAATACGACATTTGATGAATTCTTTCGACGTATTTGTTATTAAGGGTTTCACTGTACATAAAAAATTGTTTACGTTGACCCCTTGTAATCCTTGTAATCAAAAGCAGTGAGTAATTCACTTTTAAACCAAATTCTTGGAACAAAATTATTTTTTTGGATTCCCCAAACCACATTAATTGTATTTTCACGGCAATATTTTCTTCTAAAAATCTAAATGTTCATTTAACGATGTTTTCATTCAGAGAAATCAATTTAAAATCATTGAAGATCCGTAGCGTTTCATTTTACAGCCAGACCTTGAACGAACCATTTAAAAATTGAACGTTAAAATATTTTTGGAAACCACCCTTACCTTCTACTTAACGAAATTTAAAAGCAGTTTTAACTCATTAAAAAATATCAACTCTTTAATTTAGATTGATTTCTTAAAATGAACAGCGTTTTATTACAATTCAAAATATTTAAAGAAAATTAGGTCTGATATTTCTGGTTGTTAAGGACTGTGGACTTAATTTTGGCCTACTTTGGAATAGTTTCAAGTCCGATTCACAAAGGTACCCTATTTGGAAGAGTTATAAGTCTGATTCACAAAGGTACCCTATTTATAAGAGTTATAAGTCCGATTCACAATGGTACCCTATTGTCGGAGCAAAATTGACGCGGTCATTCTCGTTTTTCTATCTGAAAATAGACTATTTTCAATCAAATTATTCTCTATAAAAGCTGCTTATGGATTAGTGAATCTAAGAAAAGGAAGGAAATACATGGAGCAGAATATCTTTTTTTTCTAAACAAAAATATTACGATTTTTACTTGACTGTTGATGGGATAAATGGCTAACTTAAAATTACACCGTTCCTTCAAATTTACTCGATGGAGCGTGAAATATACGTTTGTTTAATTTCTTATATTTAAGTTTTTGCAGTATTTTATTGTTGTTGAAAAAGAAAATTAACCGGAAACTAACAATTTAGGAAAAAATTGTAAAAACTCGCAGAGTCCTTGTTTCACATCGAGATCTCTATTTATCTATCCAGGGGGTTTAACCATAGAGAATGATTCCAATGAGAGTGGGAGGGGGGAGGGGGGTTCTAAAGGGTAATAATTCAAATGAATTCAATTTGCCAATAGCTATTTGCTTAAACCTTTTCTGTCTCGTAGAGTTCAGACTTCTTAGAAACATGATGTTTCACATTCGATTTATTGCATATCTTTCTCAATTCTTGTAATTCTAAATGACCTTTGACCATAACCAACCTTCTGGACAAGTAATCAATTTCCTAACAAATCCAAACCGCAGTGCGCCTGCTTAATATAAAAATAAAAAAACTCAACATTTTTTAATAACTTGATTGGCATTTGTATCACTCATGTCTATGGCTACAAAAAAGAATTAGTGGGTTGATGAAACTTTTTATAGAACTCTGAATCTATATGCNTTCTTTTATTATATTATCTGGATTCTGACTGATAAGCTTATGGTAGACAGTTTCTGATTCACATTTAATTGAGAAATCGTCGACAATAAAAATCTCCATCATATCAAGATTCAAAATTTCATCCAATTTTTCTCAAAAAATAATCTTCCTTAAACAACTGATCATCATTCTGTGAAACACTTATTAAGATCAGGAAACTATTCTGTGGAATACATTTTCATCAATTGGCTAAAAAACGAATCAATGAGAGAAAATGGGATTTTAGGAAATATTTTATTTAAATATCTCTCATAAATTCGAATCCCTGCAATGCCCATTGTATAGTGCAAAGGATCAATGGAGTAAAGAAAGTACCCCCCAATTTATTTTTGTAAATATGAAGACGATAAACATAGATTCAGTCTTATCCATTTTTAATCTATAAGACAGGGTCGACTTTTTCAGAATTTATTGGCAAAATTCTTATCAATGTATACTTGAGAGCATGAGACCTTTAAACCTCAGCGAATATTTAATTAGCAATTTTGACAATTCAAAAACAGTAACCACTGTACGGAATTTGTCCTAGTCTTTAAGTATTTACATTCATGATTCTCTTACAAAGAAAATCAGTCTTTTTCCAAAACATTTTTAATCCCTATATCTGTCCCACACAATTTTGTAGACATTTGATACTTAAATCTATTATTTCTGTAAGATGACTCAAAGGACTTAGGTTTACACAATCAGGTTTCAAAGATGTAGAGATCAGATAACTCAGAACCATTTTTACTTATTTACCAATTAATAAACAACAATTAAAATATATTCATTGCATAACCTTTAGTTTGTAAAATTTAAATATTTTAATAAAAACTATTAAAAGTATGTCCACAAAGGATTTCTAATTCCTTTTAAAATTTGCAACCCAATGTCGTAGATTTAGCCACATATTATATGTAAATTCTGTTATCAAAATATCTATTTTAGAAATATATCAAAGGTTTACGCCATCAGGTTAAAAACATAAAGGTATTAGAAAATTCGAATTAGTGGCAAAGACTCAACTCCAAAGTGTGCTAAAAATTGAAAAGAGTACATTGGCTCTCACCGTTTACCAAA